TCTCAGACGCGGTGTGTGCACTACGGCTGAGGTGGGTGTGGGAGGTCTGCTAGAGGTTCTCAGTCGCCTAGCTCCAGTGGTGCAGCTGGAGGTGACGGTGGACACAGCACTTAATTAAAGGCTTGCAGGCCCTCCAGGTGTGGGGGTCTCAGCAGTATGCTTTGGGGCAGAGCATTCCATGTCTGCACAGCGCTGGCAGGAAATGCGCGAAGACAGCTGTTTCGGGTGCGTGCTGGCAGGTTAGTCGATAGCTGGTGTGGGTGCGTAGGCTGAGCAGACACGCGGGTGGGCTGTATGTCCTGAGGTCGACGTTGGGCACCAGGGGGGAGGATCTTCTTTAGCGGGCTGTCCGCATCTAGGCAGAATAGCTTGTACAAGTATGCAAGCGAGGCCACTGTCCGCCGCAGAGATAGACTAGGGAGCCAGGAGCCCGATCCGATGATGTGGATGGCTCGTCGCTGGATCTGGTCTAGCTTGGCCAAGTGTGAGGGTGGCGCACCAAGCCAGACCAGGGGACAGTACTCCAGCACAGGTCGGACAAACCCATTGTAGGCTCGGAGTCGGCCAGGGGGCTCTAGGATAGCAGAGGCCTTCCGCAGGAAGCCTAGGCGTTGCTGTGCTCTGGAGCGGATCGTGCGGATGTGCTGCGCATATGTCAGCTGGGAGTCAAAGGTGACGCCCAGGAGCTTCAGGTGGCCTGCCTCGCTGACTGGCGTAGCGTCGAAAGTGGTTCCCGGGAGCTGCCAAGGCTGGCGATGATGTGCGATTTGCATGGCTTGGGTCTTGGAGGGCTCAAACTTGATCTTCCACTCCACGCCCCAGCGAGACAGTGCATCCACACCCTGTTGCATGATAACAGAGCTGCCAGGTATGGACACTCTTGAGGTGATGAAGTTGAAGAGCGTAGTGTCATCGGCATATGCTGCGAGGTCCATTCCAGGAGGGAGATGGTCCTCGGCGTCATTTGTGTACAGGATGAACAGTGTCGGTCCCAGGATGCTGCCCTGGGGGACGCCAGCTCTCACCGGGTAGGGCTGAGATAGCTCCCCACCAACAGCTGCGGTTAGGTTCCGGTTGCTCAAGTAGTCGCGGAGCCAGCCAAGCAGGTGACCAGCTACGCCATAGCACTCTGCCTTGTGGAGCACTCCGGTGTGCGAGACACGGTCAAACGCACCAGCCACATCCACTGCGATCACCCTTACTGCACCACCGCTTGCGGCCA